ACAGCCAAAGATAGTTCTTCAAAATGCTCATGTGTGCATTTCCCTCCCCCCCCCCCCCGCCAACACACACACACACACACACACACACACACACACACACACACTTTGGGCTCTGATTTTGTTATTTCAGACAGTATGATGCCAGCATAATGTTAGTGAAACGATTGCAACATTGACCATATCTATAATACGCTGCTGTTGCTACATAAACACTGAAAGAAGCCCATTCCATCTGATTTGAAAATCCTAGCAGTCCCAAGTCTTATTTATACAATATTGACAGAGGTCAAGCCAGTCCTAGAGGCACAGGCATTTGTAAATTATGGTAGGCAGAGTGTGTGTAATGAGTTATGCTAAGAAATGGGGGGGGGGGCAGATTTGCTCAGCGCAGCAATTGTGAAATTTCATATGGTGAGAAAGCAGTTGTCACCATCTATAAACTATAATATGCATTTTAAAATAAAATGTTTAAATAAAACTGGCCTTTCCAAGCTGGTTGCTGACACATAAACCGTTTGTGACACCAGAAATATAGAACCTAGTGCAAAAGAATGTAATCTAGTATCTATCCTGCTTTAACATACAAAGGAGAACAGTTTAATTTCCACTCAAAGTAGGGAAGGAGGTTTTTCTCTTCTTTAATTACCACCTTCTCTAAGTACGTGATTTGACATAAATGTTAAAATCTTTCTAGTAGGAGCCTGCAGACATTCTTAAAATACATTTTCAAATGCCTTCTCCAGACTTTGAGTTGGGTAGTTGGCAGAACATGGTGATCAGCCCACTGCTACTTCCCAGCAGAAAATCATCACTACTAGGTCTAAAGGGGGAAATCTGTGGGCAAAGAAGGATATGTCATCCACAAAGGAGCTGATCCACTATTGGTTTGGATCAGATTCCAAACTTTGAAACCTTTGAAATTCCCCATCACTAGGTGTATGTGAAGGTCTGCTACATAGAGGCTGTTTTCCTGTGCACTGCAGTTTGGCTGTTTGAAGGTTGGTAGAGACTGTGGTTTTATATATAGGTTAGCTTTGATGAGGCTAGCTTACATCATGCTTTCCCATGTATTTTTGCTATGTTAATGCTAGAATTTGCATGGTGTAACATTTCACCTCATCAGGTGTCAGATCCTACTACTGCCTCAGTTTCTTTCCTTCAGTGGCCAAACAAGCTACAACTGGTGCTTTGTGTTTATTCTTCCCTTCAGGGTCTGGTTCATTAAAATATCTCAAAGCTAGACTCTCCCTTGGCAGTCCATTACACCCTCCTGGAATCTTAATTCCCTCTAAGAGGTTTTGCTCTTGTCCCTCACTGCAGATAGACTTTTCCCTCTGGATCCCCTGGAGGTGCCTCCCTGCTGGTCCCGCTCCTCTTTGCCCTCGTATCCTGGCACCAGGTACCCACTCTTCCTTTCCCCAGTCTTTTGAAACCCCTGGTCTCTCCCTCTCTAATGAAGCAGGCTCCCGCTTATAAGGATGCTGCAATCAACATGGTGCATCATTACCTTACCTAAGCACTGACCCAAGCCCAAATCCATAAACTGGGATTATTTGTAGTTATTGTCTGCACATCCTAAAACTCAGTATTGCTTGGGCACACTCCAGGCAGACACTGGTATGGGGTACAATATTCAAACTCACTTAAGTGTCTTAGATGCCTAAATTCCATTTTAAAAAGTGACTTAGGCACTTAAGGTGAGATTTTCAAAGGCATTTAGGTGTCTAAAAGTAGAGATGGGCACCTAGTGGGATTTTTAAAAGCTTCCAAGCAGGATATATCGCTAATTCCCCTTGAAATCAATGAGACAGACACCTAAGGGATTACGTCCTCCTGATAAGATAGATGGGGGAACACCTAATTTGAGACTCTTGTTTTGGAGCATCTGGGCCTTTGGTTTGAGCTAGGGCTCTGAGCAGCTCATTAGCTGAGGGGCAGTGTGTGACCCAAAGACCTCTTCATGTCAACTGGCAGAGGGCACAGGGGTACATAGAGTAACAGGAATCCCTGGGTTCACCAAAAGAGGTCATGTAAGGTCTCTACTGAAAGCACATGTCACACTGGTCTTCTTAATCATTGTACCTAGAAGGCAATGCTTGTATTACCAGAGGCTGGTAGAGTCAGGGAGCTGATCCACTGCAGGCACAGAGAAGACTTCCTCATGCTAAAGGCAGGTGGTAGTAAGGTGCCACGTAACACTGGGTACCCCTTGGAAGTGTCACATGGTGTCAGGACTTAGGCACTTTTGTGCATATCCACTGGTGCAAATTTAGGTACTAGGTGATTTAGGCACCTACTGGGTTGGCTGAGTGACAGTTTTAAGAATGCCAGTGGGGCCGAGATGTTGGATTTCACAAATAATGAAAAAGCTGATAAGAGTTTCAATTGATAAAGAATTAAAGTATAGGAATGTAATTAATGCCAATTAACATGGTTTTATAGAAAATAGGTCTTGGTAAACAAATCAGCTTTTACTCTTTGATGAGATTATAACTTTGGTTGATAAAGGTAACTGTGTAGATGTAATATACTTAGGCTTTTGTAAGACATATGCTTTAGTGCTGCATGACATTCTGATTAAAAATGAGAAGCAGATAATACCAATAAAGCACATGTTAAAAGGATTAAGGACTGGCTAACTGAGAGATCTCAAAGTAGTTATCAAAGGGAAATCATTGAATATGGGAATTTCTATTGGGATTCTGCAAGGATTGATACTATTCAACATTTTCATCAGTGATCTGGAAATAAATATAAAACCATTGCTGATAAAATTTGGCAGAGTGGTAAATAACTATGAGACTAGGGCAGCCATACAGAGAGATATGAATAGCTTGGTAACCCGGGCACATTCATATAAAATGCATTTTACTACAGCCAAATGCAAACTTACACATGTAGGAACAAGGAATGCAGGTCATACGTATAGAATGTGCGACTGTACATTTCTGGAAATGTTATTCTTAAAAGGATTATGGGTCATAATGGAAAAGCAACTCACAACATGCAAAGCTGTGGCAAAAAGGGTGAATGCAATCATTGGAAGTATAAAAGAGGGAGCAGTGAGTAGGAGCAGGAAGTGATTTTACCTCTGTATATGGCATTTGTGAGTCCTATACTGGGATACTGTATACAGTTTTGGTTCCCAGCATTTAAAAAGGATGTTAAAAAACTGGAGGGTTTTTTGTGATTCCTGGGCTGGAGTAAACATTTTAGGGTGAGAGACTTAAAGAGCTCAATCTCTAGTCTAGCAAAAAGAAGATTGAGAGGTGACTTGATTACAGTGTATGAGTTCCTTCACACAAAGAAAATACAAGATACTAAAGGACTTTTTGATCTTTCGGGTAAAGGTATAACAAATTCCAATGGCTGGAAGCTGAAGCCAGACTAGTTCAAATTAAAAATAAGGCACAAATATCTAACTTTGAGGGTGACTAATCATTGGAACAAACTACCCAGGGAAGTGGTGGATTCTCCATCTCTTGATGTCTTTAGTCAAACAAGTTATTGGACTCAAATCAGGGGTAACTGAATGAATTTTAATGATCTGTAATATATAGGAGATCAGACTAGGTCCCTTCTAGCCTTAAACTCTATGAATCTATGAGAGTTTGTCATGCAAGGTGCTGAGGAAAAAAATTGTCAATAACTGGAACTAGGCCTATTTAGAGATTAATGCTCTATATACCATGACCAATTCCCAAAGCCATCCAGGTCCCCCGCTCCAACATTAAAGGTCGAATTCAGCCTTCGGTTGAATACACTGCTCCCATTGATTTCAAAATGAAGCAGACGTGAATCTGAAGAAGTCAGTGGGAATTGCACCTGAGGGCAGAAGTCAGCCCTAACTTGAAAAGAATTTTTTTTTAAAAATCACCCTTTTTGTTTTATCGTTTTCTACCTAACAGTGGATTTTGCCCTAAAGAAATAATTTCATATGCATAGATGCAAGGAAACAAACCACAACCTGAAGCAATTGGATTATGGTGTCTGAAGTCCCCTTCACAGATTGTTATTGCTTTAAAAGGGATGAAGACAAAATAGAATTTTATTTAAAAACATGTGAGGACTTTGTGAAAAATACCATCTCACCTGTCACTGTTGTCAGCAAGGTGCCATCAGTGTTGTTGTTATCTCCTTGCTTTAAATGATATGTTGATATGAAAAAATATTGCTGATTCCTGAGCTGGAGAAGAAGAGCTGGTATTTGGCTGAAGGCAAAAAAACTCTCAAGTATAATAATAATTATGTGGCAAACTGTTAACTTGTAGCTCAGTGGCCAATGAACATATCTGATGATTATGAAGAGATGTGTACACCTACTAGGTAAAGAAGAAACTAAAGGGGGGGGGGAACAATAAAAAAAGACAGAAATAAAATGTAATACTAGAACAAGTTCAGTGTCTATATATTTTAATTTGCAAATAGTGTACTAATCTTCACAAGTCCTATTGATCTTACCGAATACATAGGAGGTGCCCTACTATTCAAGGTATTCTACTTTTTGCTTGCCAAAAATAGATGACCATATACAAGTGTGGGATGGTATTTTAATGGTATTTTAAATATAGCTATGTATCATCTCTATATTTTTAAGTGTAATGTTTTATGTGCAGACTGTATCCTAAAAGCATACCTTCTTAGAGGTCTGATATTTAGACATTCGGTCACCCTTTCTAGCATACTCAGAGGAGGATGCTCCCCAGCCGGTAAGCCAGAATCTTTAGCCAGGTTATTTTAATATTAACGTGATCCTGAATAAATAGTGTACGATATGGTATGTTAATGTTCTTTTCTAAATTTGCTTTAATAAAAAGTTTCTAAATAAACAAATAAGTCACTTTGTTCTGCAACAGGGAAAATATATTTTGGGAACAGGAAACAAGACTGGGTTACTGATGCATTTTCAAAGATGCTTGTCATCTTACTTATAATCTGTCTTGGAATCCTTTGATAGATCCACCCCCTGCTTTCTTTTTCAGCCTCCTAGTGAGCAATCCTGACAGCTTTAATTGTCTCTCTCTTCTTGACAGGGATTCTCAAAGTGGTGTTTTCAAATGGAAGTCACCGTGTGAACATTCTTGGATAAAACTGTTGAAGCAAAAAGTGCAAAACAGCTCAGCAAGTTTTATCATAGTCTGTGTAAATATTATATCTGCAATGCAACTCCATTGGATACGCGCACTGAGATGTGTAATGGAATCATATTTTTCACTTCGGGGGAGGGGCAAGAAGGAACAGATATTTTCAGACTTACTTCTTTTTTTCTGCTGCCACTGATTTGTCGGCTCTTGATTTTTGAGAAGACTCCCTCCATCAGCACTGGTGAGGGGAACAGCAGCAATTACCCTCTGCCATGAAAGAAAAAGATCTTTCTTAAAACTTCATAGATTGAATGTGGGCCATTAGGGAATGATAATGTCTTGAGGGATAATAAATCCCTAGTGATAACAAGGAACTAAACTGTACAACACACTTCTTTTATTATGGTGCTCTAGAGAGAAACTGTCTAAATACCCAGACGTTGAGGAACTGTGACTTTAGAGTAGCAGGTGATTACTTACTTCTGTTGTTAGAAAGGGGCAAACCTGAGGTAAGATGAAAAGGATTCTGTCTGTTCAAAATAAGGAAGAATACTGGTTCCCCTCACCAACCTGAGGTGGTATGGTAGATGGTCTGTCAATAAGAAAATCTGAAATAAAAAGGAAGATACTGGAGAGCACACTAAAATGGCCTTGAGAAAAAGAGTGTCTGAGAAGGAACTGGGAATAATCCACTTGGATTTAGAGGGAAGAGTAAATGAAATACTTAATTCTTCAGGTTCAAGGATCCAGGTGAGAGCCTTGCAGCACTTGAAATATTTCTAGTATTCTGAATGGGAACAAATAACTTAGGATGGAAGGATTCCCAGAACGGTTACAAAATTTGAAGGTAAATTGTAACATACAGGTAGGGGAGGAGGGAGCCATGATACACAGGGAGTTGAAGAGGGACGGAGAGTAGTGCCTTATACAAACCTGGAAAGTGATTTGGGTTTACATGGCTACAAGTTTTTGAGAGTATTCTTATTTGTTCTGAACCAGTTTGCACATTCCTAGTCATAAGGGGGCAGATTTAAAAAACCAAACAAAAAAAACCAAACCCTCATCTCCTATTTAGGCTCCTACATAAGAACTGATTTTCCAAAATTGCTCAGAAGCCAGTAGCTACCAGTGTGACACCTCTGGATGAAATAACACAACATCAAAAGTGCCGAGTGCTTCTGATAATCAGACAAAAGAAGCTTACTCATAATACCAAATAAGCTAGGTCAGCCTAGCTCCCCCCTGTCGGATTACTGTTGAAACTCTGAAATTGATTTAGTGGGTCACAATCTGTTATTGCATTGATGAGGAGTAACCAGAAATTAATAACTACAGTCTAGTATTCTGTTGTAGTTTGTTTTAAGGAGTATTTGTATTGTGTAATCTTGTGCTCAAAGGAACGAGGTGTGCAGTTTTGGTTTTCTGAAACAAGAAACCATTTATTAAAAAAAAAAAAAAAAAAAAAAAGGATAGTAGATAGTGTGCAGCCTCAGCAGAGAAAAAGGTTGCCTGACTGTCCATAAACATAATTGGCCTGATAGATTGTGCTTTTTAAAAGATAAACCTTGTTGACATGTCTTTATCATTTAGATACTTTTATAATACACCAAGCAAAATGGAGTACACAGCTTCTCATGATTAGTACTTGAGACAACACGTAAAGAGGGTGTCACAGTTCCTGAGGTAACTGTACCTCTGACCCCCTCCTGGACTCTGTAAGGGAACCCCACTTAAGTCTCAGGCCTCTAGCCATCACCTTTCTTGGGGCAGGATCCCGCAACCCTCTCCCTCCAGACTGGAGAATTAGGCCACAGACTCCTGCAGATGGCCTCACAAGGTCTGACTAGTTCAGCATGTACAATCCTGTTGTTTCAAGGGCAATGACAGGGTTCACCAGTAACCAACCAGCTTCCATATAGCAAAGTACTAGCCATCCAGAACAAAATCATCACAGAAAAAACATGTCATAAAAACAATAAACAGCTTGTACACGTCTAGTTTAGCTAGGGTGACCATATGTCCCATTTTTATAGGGACAGTCCCGTTTTTTGGGACTTTCTTATATAGGCGCCTATTACCCCGCACCCCCTGTTCTGTTTTTTCACAGTTGCTATCTGGTCACCCTAAGTTTAGCAGATAGTTACCCATCTGCCACACAGAGACCTGGGTAGGGTTTAAAGTACTTCAGATCCTTTCTGCAGGGCCTGTCTCTCTTGATCACAGTCTCATGTCATTTCTGTTTTGAAGGTGAGTGACCCCTCTCCCACATATATGATCTCAAGTCCTTCGCATTCTTAGGTATCTTGAATGGTCAACCCAGGATATGGTATTTCCCCAAGGGGTAAAGCGTCAAAAGGACTTGTGTCCTGCTTCTTTTTTCAGGATTGGGGATTTGCATTAATTACACTCCACTGACTTTAGTACCTGCAGGAAACATCTTTTAGCTCACCCATTGAGCCAGGAATACAAGCCACAGCACCTATATAACATTTATAGTATAGATAAAATAGTCTTTGAATATTCCATGTTTCCAAAGCATGTCACAAAGGGCTTTAATGATGCTGAGACTATTTCTGAGGGTGGATGATTGTGAGGCCGGTCCAACATAAAATATAGCCTAAAAAATATGGACTAAAAGGAGGCTATGAGAGCCAGTGGATGGACAATGGTCTGCAAACTAGGCTCTATTCCTGTCCCTATCACTGGACTACAGTGTGACCTTCTACAAGCTGCTTCAGCTTCTGAATCAGCCTTCCTCTAAGGGGATGATAATACTCACCTTTATAACATGCTTGGAGATCTGAAAGTGCTACGTAAGTGTTAAGTGCTATTCATCTCTGAGACTGGGACCTTAAACTCCTTCTTTTTAAAATAAATGGATCAAAAATCCTCAGGGTTTAAACTTTAACTCCTCAGAGTTTACAAATATGAATCAAACAACAACTCCTAAAAAAAAGTCAGTTCTAGAGGTAAAAACAGCCACCAGCAAGATAACTAGTGAAGATGCATAACTATGTTTCCCTTCCACTTTATTTCAAGTAAAGCTATTTATTTATTACAGATCTTTTGCACTGTCACCGCTTTTATGAGGGACTCTCCTGATCAGCAGTCATTGCCTGAAGAGAGCGATGGATTCTATGCAGGGATTAAGGTAATGCAAATGTCCTTGATTTACTGCACTTATCCAGCATGTCACTGAAGAATATTTGAATATTAACCAACATACTCTGGAACACAATATGCAAGAAAATAGGACTTGATGATCATAATTAATGTAAAAAGAAAAGGAGTACTTGTGGCACCTTAGAGACTAACCAATTTATTTGAGCATAAGCTTTCGTGGGCTACAGCTCACTTCATCGGATGCATACTGTCGAAAGTGTAAAAGATCTTTTTATATACACACAAAGCATGAAAAAATACCTCCTCCCACCCCACTCTCCTGCTGGGTGGGAGGAGGTATTTTTTCATGCTTTGTGTGTATATAAAAAGATCTTCTACACTTTCCACAGTATGCATCCGATGAAGTGAACTGTAGCTCACGAAAGCTTATGCTCAAATAAATTGGTAAGTCTCTAAGGTGCTACAAGTACTCCTTTTCTTTTTGCGAATACAGACTAACATGGCTGTTACTCTGAAACCTATAATTAATGTAGCTTCTACACGCCCAGTGAGAAAATGTCCTAATAAATTACGTGCCATTCTGTAAGCCTTTCTAAAGCATTCACGGTACTGTCTAGGTACTGACACTGTCAGAACATAAAAAATATCCAAAAGTGCTCCATGCACCCTCTAGCACATGTCCAGATGCATTCCAGTAACTATGTACAAGGTTAGGAGTGCCAGAGCTATGTGAAGTGGATCTAATCTACCTGGATTTCAGAAAAGCATTTGATATAGTTCTACTTGGAACTTATTAGTTAAATTGGAGTAAATGGTGATTAATATGAGAATCAAAAATGTGGGTAAGGAACTGGATAAAGGGGAAACTACAATGGGTCATGCTGAAACATGAACTATCAGGCTGCAGGGAGGTTACTGGTGGAGTTTGTCAGGGATTGGTCTTGAGACCAATCTTCATTAACATTTTCTTTAATGACCTTGGCACAAAAAAGTGGCAGTGCACTAATAAAATTTGCAGATGACACTAAATTGAGAAGTATTGCCAATACAAAGGAGGATTGTAACATAAGACAGGAAGATTTGGCTGACCTTGAAAACTGGAGTAATGGAAATGGGACAACATTTAATAGTGTGAAGTGCAGGGTCATGCACTTTGGGACTAAACAACAAGAATTTTTGCTGTAAACTGGAGACTTATCAGTTGGAAGAGAAAGACTTGGGGGTATTGGTTCATCACCAGATGACTATGAGCCGCCAGTGTGATGTGGTCACTGGTGAGACCTCATCTGGACTACTGTGTGCAATCCTGGTCTCCCATGTTTAAGAAAGATGAATTCAAACTGGAAGAGGCGCAGACAAGAGCTACTGGGATGATCAGAAGAATGGAGAACCTACTTTATGAGAGGAGACTTAAGGAGGTTGGCTTGTTTAGCCTCACAAAATGAAGGTTGAGTGGAGATATGATTGCTCTCCAGAAATACATAAGAAGGCTAAACACTAGGGAGTGAAAGAAGTTATTTACATTAAGGGCCAATGTTGGCACAAAGCCAAATTAATACACACTGGCCACCAACAAGTTTAAGCTTTAAATTAGACTAAGGTTTCTAACCATCAGAGGAGTAAAGTTCTGGAACAGCCTTCCATGAGGAGTAGTGGGGGCAAAACATCTCACTTGTTTCAAAACTGAGTTTATGGAGGGGGTGGTATGATTAGGTAGCCTACAATGGCATATGGTCCATCTGTAATGGCTATTAGCAAATGTCTCCAACGGCTGGCGATGGGACACTAGATGGGGAGGGCTCTGAGTTACTACAGAGAATTCTTTCCCAAGTATCTGGCTAGTGGGGCTTGCCAGCAAACTCATGATCCAATAGATCACCAAATTTGGGGCTAGAAGGAGTTTTCCCCTAGATCAGATTGACGGAGACGATTGGTTTTTCTTTGTCTGTTTGTTTTTACCTTCTTCTGCATCATGGGGCATGACTCACTTGCTGGTTTGAAATAGAGGAAATGATGGATTCTCTGTAACTTGAAGTCTTTAAGTTAAGATTTGATGACTTAAGTAACTCAGCCAGAGGTTATGGGTCTATTACAGGTGTGGGTGGGTGAGGTTCTGTGGTCTGTAATGTGCAGGAGCTCAGACT